CCTTGTAGAATGCCCACTACGCTGTAAATGACCGCTTGACCAGTTGAGTTAAAACTCTTCATTGCATGTATGGTGAAGATATATTGTCAAAGTAATTGGATTACATCAGGAAATATAAAAATAATGACATAAGAAAAATCACCTGATACTCGCTAATATAGTAGTGGTAGTTTGAGGATAATCTATGTATATGAAAATGTTTTACTCCATTATACAATCATTGAAATCAATAATAAGTTATATTGATGTATTGATTGTGCACATTTATATGGGACGTTTCCGTAAATCAGTATTATAGCAGTGAATGTGACAAGCCAAGCCAATAGTTCGGAATCAAGGAAATTTTGTATATTACTTAGAAAAATATAGTATGTTTTTCCTCAATATGACATTTTTTCTTGTAAATCAATATCTTTACAGGTACTATATACTGTGTCTGAAGATGGCTGATTGAGCCGAAACTAGTCACAAAAATCTTTTTGTAATTAAACTTTGTGGTCGACCGACTTAGCGTTTGTGTTTTTTCTTTACTTAGAAAAAGTATGTTGATAAATCGAGTTCAATTTATATGTTTAGTAAGTCAGCGATGGAATGAGATTATTTATTCATCATAATAATTATACCATGTAGGTACTTATTCATTGTCAAATGAAGAAATGTGAAAAAAACTTAGGGATAGGATAGGATCAGTATTGATAGCAAGAAATGAGAGGGAATTGCTTTCGAAGCATATACTCGAGAGTTCTAAAATGATGATTGAACGGAATTCAACAAATTTTCTTTCGAATTGAAAATCTTGTCTAACCTATATACTGTATAAACATATACAGTGTCATTCATAGGGACGGCATCATATGGGAAAACCTTTTGATGATAGTTCATTTTGAAATTCAACTTGGGCGTTTCGTTTTGCTTCAGAAAAGATGAAAAATGGCCTCTACTACTGAAAGTTACATTTTTTCAAATCAATCCCTGAAATAGGCTTTATTGTACGAATTCCAAAAAAGTTCACGAAGAAAAGTTCTTTGTATTCCAATTTTACACATTTGTCTCGAATTTGAACATTCTATTGCAACATTTAGTTCTTGATATTTTTTTATTTTTCTAATTGTAACTTCCACAAAACCGTCCTAAACGTTGGTTAGATAAGTAAAACAGATTGATGATATTTTGATAGATGACTTGGGCATCTGTTTTGTACCGAGAAAATCAATTTGAATAAATTTAGCTTCTTAGTGATAGACGATGCATCAAACATAATAGAAATCATAAGCAGGGATTATTATCTTCTGAAGAAAATCATATTTCTGTCGATAATTAGTGATTGAAAGTTATAGTAGCATGAATCCACTAGAATGAAATAGTTTTGTGGGTATTTATTTTTTTCAATCACAGACATTTCGTGGAAATTTCAAATATATAAAACTAAAAATAAATTATAGAACGTTCAATTTTAAGACACATAATTATGTAAAATTGAAATAGAAACAACTTTTCCCATTAAACTTACTTGAAATTCAAACAAATAAGCCTATATTTTCAGCGATTAAATTGAAAAAAAAAATTAACTTACGACATGTAGCGAAAGTCACGTGACTTCGACCAAATATTCCGTTTTTAATAATTTTAAAAGCAAAACTTAACGCCAAAGTCTAATTTCCAAATACATTATCATTGAAAACGTTTCCCATATGATGCCGACTTTATGAATGACACTGTATATGTCATTATGTTTTTTCATCAGCGAGCTACTCGGCGAGCTAGCAATCATACCTAATGAACAAGATCGATTACGAATATACAGGGTGTTCCTTAATGACATGCTAATATTCAAGGGGGGCGATTCTTTGACCCATTTCAAAAACAAAACTCCATATGAAGGTATTTCCTAGAAGTCCTAACTTTTCAGATTACAGGGTATCAAAGTTGAAAAAATACATATATTATTTTTTTGTCCACCCTGTATGGCTTTTTCTGATCGCAAAATTCATTCTGCTATGTGACTGAAACGGTGCAAAAATTTCAAGATTTTACATACTGGGTTTATCCAGTAATGGATGACCTGAAAGGTGCATTCACATCAAAATTCGCGTTTTTCCATTTTCTCTCGGAAACGGAGCGTCCTATCGGGTATTAACAATAGGATCTTTTTTGAAAGAAATTGAATGACTTTTCATAGCATTGTATGAAATTAGGAGATAGTTTTTCGTTGCTCACTTTTAAGTAGAATATAAACAATCATATCCCCCTAACGGCGCCACTGGCAGAGAAAATGAAAATTTGTATACATAAAAAATGCACCTTGATGCATAGAAGATATGTATCAAATTTTATAAAGATGTCTACAATATTCATCACCCTGTATCTCAAAAGTCAAGACTTTCAGGACATACGTCAGAGTGAAGATTTTTTCTTTAAATTAGTCATAGAATCACCCCCTTGAATATTATCATATCTTTAAGGAACACCCTGTGTATAGAAAAATATCAAAATATCACTATAATATTCAATGTTGACCCAGTGCAAGTAAATTGCTTGCTGCACATTACTTGAACAGCAGTTTATAGTAAAGAAAATAAATTTTGACTTCGACCGATATTTCGCCAAATGTGTTTGCTGAAGCTGTCTTGAATGTTTATGAAATCAACGAGGGTTTAATAGAAGAAGTAATCTCCTATCCACCCACCCGCACAGCATAAGGGACTCTCTTCGGGACTCTCTCAGCCTCTGACACTCGATTTGTCAAGCTAAAAGGTTCCGCACACACTCGCACACATGTAATTCGTTAACCGCAGCCAGGCAACGTGACGCCGCCATCAAGCTTTTGCTTTTTGCCAAACCAACATTTTTTTTTCCACAGACATGTTTTGATGTACTCGCATCCTTTGTTTTTCAATGTCACAGATTTATGAGTCAGTCCAGAGAGACTGAGAGAGAAAATGCGCTTGGATGTGCAAATGAGTTTTCAACCACGATTTCGTCGTTTCATTCCATGCTGTAATTCTGAATATTGTATACGCACGCGAAACTCAACAGTCATGGAAATGGAAACGAAAAAAGAATAGCACAAACGTACAACAAGGTTTTTCTGCAACCGACACAAAAGTCGTCCATTTTAATACCAAAATAAGCTCTTGAATTGACGTTTCTATTACTGACTCAACAATAGCTATGTTGCTAGGCAACAATTTAGTTCCTAGCAGCTAAAGTTGAAGTTTAGCTCCTAGGAACTGAAAAGGATGTACTAGAAATCAAGAAGAAACAACATTGTTACGCTTGGTTACTTGGGTTGTTAGAGTGTTGGGACGCATACCTGATTTGTTTCTGATTTCGGCAGATTTGGCATTTCATACCCATGCTGGAGATATAAATACACCTTATTATAGTTAAGTATGGGAATTAAAAACATCTCAGCTAAGTATTTTTTCATCAGGGAAGCCTTCAAAATTCACATACTTGCCTGATCTGTATTTCATTCGTTATCCTCGGGATGGATAACTTGTTTTTGAATAATCACGGCAAGCAATAGTTTTTTGTCTCGAACAATGATATTGTTGACCTCCATTTGATTATCAAGTCATACACAGTGTAGTATGGAGAGGAGAGAAATAAATAATCGCTATTATCAATTATTATTGTTGATATGCTCACTAACCTAACATTTTCCACGTCTTGTTCCTATACCTAGCACTGGCGCGGTATTTGCCATTAGAGCACCTGGTCCATACACAAATATGTCACTCTCTGGTTGTATTTATATTGAAACTACAATTCGAACATCCGTGAAAATTGAATAAACCTGCTGTTAAAGCAGGTAGGACATTCTCACCACACGGATTATTTAATATTTGTTGCATTGCACACATATGGCACGGCATTGGTGGTTACTTCACATATTTATTTGAGTTACTTGTTTCGGTAACAGAAAAGTGTCACTTTTGATCCTAATAAAACAATCTACTATTTTCGCTCCTAAATGCAAAAGCGACATAAAACTGGACGGGATACACACGAAATATGTCATAAACTAAAACACTTAATACAACGATCAATTCTTCCGACACAAATAATCAATATTCCAAAGTTATGAACTACTGAGCTTCAAGGTGCAAGTTTATGTAGTCCATTTAATTTGCAACATATTTTATTGACTCGTAGAATCGTGCCACAGTTTTTACGTTAACAAATTTAATTGTAACAAATTAAATCAATTAGCTGGAAAGTAATTGGATACTGTAACGCAATATCCGTATAAGCAATTAACTTCGCTGTTTGCGTTTGCATTGTCTGAATGCCCACCGTTTGAAAACGGAGAACCTCCAATTTTTTGCACGAGTTGATATAATGAGTTGTGGCTACTGGCATTTTAATTGGAACAATTATCAATACCACAGGCAGCTCTGGTTGTCATAATGGCCATCAATTCTCTGTATAATGTGTTCTAAAACTATCCTCATCTAGTTTTTTCCTCATCTTTGTGAAATTCAAGATTGATTTATAATTTCAGGATTTTACTTATATAATGGAACTCATAGTTTCAAGAATTCAATTCAAGAAGAGATTGAGAATACAACAATCGATCGCTATTACTTTTGATCCTATTTTTGCAACTTCGAGGACAATATATTAAGAAAATTACGTGAAATTTTCAATTCAGTTTGAGCAATACATAGACTTACTCAGATTTTGGAAAGGACCATTGCTAACTAGAAGAAAATAATTGCATTCCACGAACACATGTGTATATGATGCGTGAAACCTAATGATGAAACTGTCTCGTTTTACATGTGTCACTCATTTTCTTGGCCTAAAACTTTGTCTCCAACATTCATTTGGCATTTGAGCCTCGCATAGTATTGTTTGTTGACACCAATCATGATATACATCTCGCGAATTGTGACCCCTGTTGAACATGTCGCGTTAAACTCGCGGATTTTAATGTCACAGATAACTTATAATTAGTGTGGCAACATGAAGTGATACATTTTGTTTTGTTACAGGAACACATGAGACTTCTTTTCTACGTTGGATGAAGAGTGTAGCCCACCAACTGGATCTACTAGGTATAGCGGACATAGTACAAAGTGTTTGAAAGTGTAAACAAAGTGAACATCAGTGAAGGTGTGAAAATGCACCTCTAGTGATTTTAATGTGATTATTCGTGCAACTAAACTCAGTGTACTAGTATTAGCTGTGATCTATAAAGAATTAGCATGAGTTCGTACTTTGCCAACTATATGCCAGACATGAGAAATGGTGGGGTTGTATCAGCGGAACACCAACATCAGCATTATGGAGCTGCTGTGCAAGTGCCCCAAGGAGGTGGAGCCGTTCAAGCGGATCCAAACTCTTGCTCGGGTGACCCTTCCGTGGTGGGTTTGCGGCAAGGTATCCCACCCCACCACTATGGTGGCCCTCCTGCAGCAGGACAACCTCCCCAAGGCATGCCTTATCCCAGGTTTCCACCCTACGACAGGATGGACATCCGAAACGCCGGCTACTACAACGCGCAACAGCAGATGGATGGCCAGTACCGACCTGACAGTCCGAGCAATTTGCATATGGGGGGAAACGGGGCTCCAAATGGACATCAAACGCCTGTGGTGTATGCTAGTTGTAAATTGCAAGCGGCAGCGGTGACGCAGAACGGTGTGTTAGGTCCTACGGGGAGTCCGCCTCTGGATAGCGCGCAGAATATGAATACTCACCACATGGGGCATCATATGCAAGAGCAGCATCCGCAGCACCACCAGCAGCAGCACCACCAACAGCAGCAACATATGATGTACCCTGGGCAGCAAAATGCGAGTATGCATCAAGCTCCTCCACACCAAGCACCTCCCCTACAGCAGCAACCTCAACCTGTTCAGCAGCCTCCAAATAATACGGCTTCCTCGTTACCTAGTCCGCTTTATCCTTGGATGAGGAGTCAATTTGGTGAGTATATAAATCCTAGTTAGCTCAATATAGATAGTTAAGTATTGTGTATGATATAGCTTCAAATCAAGAAAATTGTTATACTACAGTTCACTTCTACAATATCGATTGCTTTGAGTCAATAATATGCGGAACAGAATAGTACCATGATAATCAGGTTTCAGATTCTAGAATATTATACCAATGAAAAAATATTCGTCTCGGCTGAAACAAATCAAAGACAGTCCCGAGGACAGTCCTGGAGGTACACCAAGCCACAAAATAAGACACTAAAGTGATATTTCCGGCAAAATGATTTCTAATGAGCTGAAAGAATAGTTGTTCAACTCGGCCCGAACTAAAAAAGAGTTAAAATGGGTTATCAGGTAAATCCAATCAGATATATGCCAACATCTACATAATGATATAAATTTTGTTTAATGTATAGAAGGAAACTAACTTCCTCAACAATCTAGATTTACATAAAAAACGAATGGAGACTTCTCACTAATCCAACCTCAAAGAATCGTAGTAAACTTCCATTCATTAGTCGATATAATATTGTAAGAAGAATATTTCACGAAACCAATACATTTCTATAAATTGAGGTCAGAGTGCTAACCTTACATAATGCAATCGTCACAAATAAGGTTGGAATATGAAATATTTCAATGTTGAAAGATAACTGTAGCAAACCCAATTTGCATATATATATCTGCCAGCAGGCAAAATCTAAAAAGAACACTTTAGTTGCACAATAAAGAAATTTGCAGAAAGGTGATGTAGGGACCATTCAGTCACTGACCTTGTATTCTCTGAAAGGTGACATTTATTACATCTAGTAGATTTATGACTTAATTCTGAGATTGTGGTGTTATTTTGCATAACTCTTAGGATATCTCAATCTTACAGACAACTGTCCCCTCTACAGGGAGTCCGGTAGGTTTGACATAATTCCCTTTGACTATTCTTGTGTAACAGTTAAATTGAAAGCCACATGATGATGTACTTCAAAATTCAATATTTTGAGTTAAAAATTTGATCTCACAATTTTTAGGACATCTTTAATTTTTATTAGTTTTTCATTGCTGAAAGTATTTCAAATAAGCAGTAAGATAATTATTATTCGAAAACAAGCAATGAATGGAACCCTGGGGGGTTAGTAGACTCTTTTATTGTGCAATATTTTGTGAGCAGGCAACATTTTCTGTGGACATTCTCAGTTTAAATTTGAACTTCGAATAGTGAAGATGTATATTTCCCTGGAAAAGGTATGGAATTCATAAGTTATATACTATACAGACCTCAATACATACCATCGGTATACATGTATAGAATTTACCTCATAAAATACTTGAATTATTTTCCTTCACGCATATAGTTGTGGAAATCATCTTTATTTAGATTTTTTAATGTGCTTGAAGTCGCACTGATATTGCACAAAAGTCGCTTGACATTGATTACGGAAGATACTTACCTACATCTGGTTTATGTCATTTCCATGAACACCAAGTGTTGAACAAAGTTGCAATCATGCACCTGTGAAAAAAGCAAAATTCACACTCCTAAATCACGTTTAAATCTTTCAAGAAAAAAGTTGTACGGACGAGCCACTCGCTTGGATCGGTATAGCAAATCAATCGAATCATCATTAGAGATTTTCTGTAGATTCATGGAACAGAAACGAAGAAGTATATAAGATGGATAGCTTCTCTAAGACGTTTCCCAAGAACAGTTAATATATAGTACCTATATCTTGGTAACGAATGTTTACACGTTCAACAGTTCATGAATATCCCTGTATAGGTTGCTATAATATTGTTCTTTCTCAGACAGAGGAGATATAACTGAGATCATAACTATAAATCATCCGTAATTGAACGAAGAGTAACGATTGTGTTAAAGAATTAATAAAGACGTTGAAACAGACAATAAAACTCCATGTAGTCATATAACCTAATAATAATTACCCCATGAAAAGGGTTAAATAATTTACAGCACTATCAAATCTCATCGTGTCACAATTTATCACCGGAATGCTTATTTAATGGCGTCGACTGTCGTCGGATTTGCACGATCGCGAACCGAACACATCCTTGCTTCATAAATTCTACTCAACAAGTAGTCTATATACCATGGCGGTTATATTGTTATTACCGTGCTTATGGTTGCCAACAGATGTAAATTCCGACTCTATTAGTTTAATCGTTGCTTTACAACCATACTAAACATTATGTGAACGCCTTCTGCGTTCATCGAATCAGGCGTTTATTGTTTATTTGATTTCACATCAAGCAAGATTATTTTCTTTTGTTTTTTTTATCGTAGCTAATAATTGACCGGTGATGGGTTACGATGGTTTTAGCGAGTAATTTCCGGGGTTATTTGGAATCCTACATTTGAGATGTCGGCCTTTCGAGATATTTCACCAAATCCAACATCCAACTATTTTATTTTTAGATTTTTTTAGTCATTCTCAATATGCACTAGCTTCATCCAAAATAATGTTGAAAACAATGCCAACTCATAGTTCAAATAATGATCCACTAAACTATTTTCTATATTTAAATTCGTTGGTTCGAATATTTTTTTCTATTATCAGCAGATTTCCGCATAATGCATCAGAATGTTCCAAATGATACCAACTACTATTTTGTTGATGAAAACTTTCTATGGTGTTCAATGTGTTCAAACACTGTTTAATAAATAAATGCTACGAGTTATTCCTTCCAGAATTCATTCATTGCTGGGAAGGAGTTATTTTTCTCAACATTTGTTTGTATATAATATCGTGATGATGCAAAAGGTTATCAAACGATTTTTCAATTGGATAACTTCATTTTCGGTCACAAAAATAATGATCCATAAATAAATGTCGATAATTTCACTCTTATCATAACATTCATATTTATAATGGGTATAATCACACTTTTAACTTATTTAGGTGATAACTAGTAAAATATTCATGTACGACTCACCACCTCTCGTTTTTGAGGATTCGATAGAAACCTGAGTTGATATTTTTATATCGTTCATGAAATATTTCTCATTTATCATACATTGTCATCAACTAATAGCCGAGTTATTGAAAAAATACTGAACTAAGTAATTATTGTTGCATTTTTTCTCACACTGAACTATTGTTGTCTTCAAGATGTTCATATATTTTCTTTTCAAATCTATTGATTACATCTATGATCACAAATTCACACGTTGAACCTATTGAGGTGATAACTGTTGGTAAAATATTGTACGACTCATCATAAGCTGCCGTTTTTGAGGATTTTCTGAAATTTCGAGTCAATGGAATGAATTTTTGTTGCAATGTTTCAAAATATTTTTTTTCTTCAAATTGTTTTAAGTTTATTTATTGATTTCACTTAAAATGTTCTGAACATGTCGCATTCTTGAAAACCAATCTTATATTGTTTTCTATGATCGATTATATTATCTCGTATATTATATACCTAGTGAAAACTGAATAATTTTTCAGAAGTTATAATTTCTAACTATATATACCTATCTATGGAAAGTCTTTCGTCTCCAACTCGGTCTCCAATCAACTTTGGGTGGTTTATAAATTGGATTGGTTATACCAGGTACGTTGGTTACAAAATTGTTCTTCAACAAGCAATACAAAGCGGAATAAGTGTAATGTGGAAATATTAAACATATTATACTTATTGAACCGGTTGTGTATTTTGATTTGAAGAGAATAAAACAAAGCTCGTTTCAAATCACCATCATACCTAATATGAAATTTATTATAATCCAATGGTTTTCAAATTCCGAGAATTGATTCGCGATAAACATAATATGTACTAATACTTATAAGTCAAAAAAACTCTTTCAGTCTATATACCAATGACTACTTTTTGCAGTATGCTTGTTTGTTTGTATGTATTGAATAGGCTCCCAAACTACTGGATCGATTTGGCTGAAAATTGGTGGTATCTGATGGGGGTCTTCGGGGTCGGAGATTATGATTCTCTCGCCAGAATTCAAAAATTTGGGCGGAATTTGGAAATTCAAGATGGTGGAACCAATATGGCGGACGAGTTTTGTAATTATAATCCGAATCTTTTCAAAATTGGTAACTAGGGGTTTCGTGATAAGGGATTATGATTTCTTCGTCAAAATTAAGAAATTCGAGATGGCGGATCCAAAATGGCGGATTTTGTTATTAGTGTCCAATTTTATTCAAATTTGGTATCTGTGGTTCTCGGGGTCGGAGATTATGATTCGTTCGTCAAAATTAGGAAATTCAACATGGCGGACGAGTATTGTAATTATGATCCGACTCTCTTCCAACATTGTTATCTGGGTGTTTTCGGTGTCGGAGAATATGATTCTTTTGTCAAAATTTGGAAAGGGCGGGATTTGGAAATTCCAGACGGTGGAACCAATATACCTACCGATTTTATTCAAAATTTGTAAGTAGGCGTCTTCGGGATCAAAAATTATGATTCCTGCATCAAAATTAGGGAATTCATGATGATATATCCAATATTTTGCCGACGATGTTTGTAATAATTATGTTCCGATTCTATTCAAAATTTCCATCTGGGGTTTTAGGAGTCGGATATTATGATTCTTCCGTCAAAATTGGGAAATTCAAGTGAACTAACAAGAAGTTGAAATAAATGCTAGTTTGAAAAACTAAAGAAACACGCTTTCATGGATAGGGAAACTAAAAAGAATCAGAAAATAAAATAATAATAGTGTCTTGATGAATATTGAACTAAAAATATAATATAGAAATAATATAATATAGCAAAACAACGTTTGCGAGGTCTGCTAGTGTGTATTTACGAGACTATATTATATAGATAGTCAAAATATCTAAAAATTCGTTATATATTTGATAAAAAGTGCGTCCGCCATTGTAAGATCCAGGCTGGTGTTCGGCGGGCCTAATTAGAAATGCTGTCTCTTCACATGACTGATGGTGCTGTCTGTGGCCCTATTCCGACCAACAGACTGTGACTTATCAGATAAATGCGGCCCAATTCTTGTTTCCA